CTTGCTTTGCTCTCCCCTCCTCTTTCAAGGACTTTGGTCTGACCACAGCCATTTCCCTTAGCCTTTGCTTTGCCTAGCAACACACAGCACATAGTTTCCATAGAACATGCATTTAATGGGAGAGAAGATATATAGATACTGCAGAAAGTCTCTTGTAAAGACAACTAGGTCTAAAGATTTCCTGCTCTGCTCACAGACTAAGTTTGAAAAACACATGTTCAGTGGCTTTAGTGCTGACTTTTCTCTTAAAGGCATGTAGCAGAGGAGGATACATGGAATGGAGGCTGGAATGAAACTAATATCATCTTGAAAACTGCAATACAGACAGGACGAGTATGGTTGTAATCAAAGAAACATCAGTGCAATTACTTTGTAAGACTAGTGAGTATTATCAATGTTTTAGTCCAGCATTTTAACAACAAATTATGATTTTTGAACAGAATGAACCATAGCTGTCATATTTTAAGCCCACCATTTTTCTGAAAACGACCAAGCACGATTTTAAATATAATGAATGCACTGGCTTCAAACTTTTAATGTAGTCTGACCAGTCCTGATTCAGACTATATCCTTCCTGTGAGAAAGTTGCAAAAAAAACACATTCACAGTGTTCTCAAGTACAGATTTCCCTGACAGCTGTAGGACTGAAAAGTTCTGCCTTACCCGTTTTTTTTTCTTTTTTTTCTTTTTTTAAGTTCTCTGTATTTGTCTAATATAGTCAAACTTAGCAGGTGAGCAAGTTGCAACCTGTTGACTGCCGTCGGCTCTGGTGTGTGTTTGATAAAGCATGGACAAGAATATATCGGTGTGTGCTGAATTAACTCTATCACTGCAGTTTGAGTACTGAGACCTATATTTAATATTACCATTGCTTTTTTTTAACAGTAGTATTTACATTTTACTTCGTGGCCTGACATCAGGCCTCAATTTAGCCCAAATACCTTTAAGTTCTGTTGGCTTTGGGCCACACTGCAGGCCTGTATGTTAGTCACAATTCTGTCCAAAAACAAAGTCAGTATTATTTTTCCTGCAATTATTTGAGACATCAACACACCCTGATATTATATTAGAAGGACTGTTTCTTTTGGAAACTGCTTCCAAAAAAGATATGCTTCATTCATGATCATTCATCATTATTATGTTGGAAGTGATTAGAACATGCCTAACCCTCTTAGGGATTATTGAATTGACTCTGTGCCAGGAAATGTACCACTCATGGGCACAGTCTTGCCAGAATCCTTTACTTAGGCCCTATTCATGTTGCTTTTTTTTTCCTTACTTTGATTGCATCCTCGGCATAAATGTGGAATATAGTTTCATTGCTTACGTGTCCTTTTTCGTCTTGTTTGATGGGGGATGGGGTGCCAGTGGGCCTCTGCCAGGAGAAAGGTTTCCTGGCTTTGCCAAGGTATGCCCTCCTCCCTCTCTCTCATGTGGAGCGAGGCTCTATACTTGCTTGTAAATAGTGAGATAAGTGTGGTTTACCCGTAGCTGGGGTGTAAGGTGCACTCAGCACCGCCCTGACATGTCTGTGCCAAAGCCCAACAGGGGTGTAATTACCTGAGACTGGGTCAGCACTTTATCCGGGGTAAAAATACCTGCCTACTTATAGAAGGGGAATAGCGAGGGCAGCTCCATGCAAAGGGAAGCCTGTCTTCACGCATCCAGCCAAATGCTTCTCTATGTTGGGTAATGCTCCTGTAGTTTTCTCACCGTAGAGCACCGCATAACGTTCTGTCATAGGGACTCCCTGACAAAACCTTTCCATCTTCTCCTTCTGCTTTTCATGGCTGCGACGGACTGACCTACAAAACGCCGGGACACACGTCCAATGTTCCACTCTCTACCTCGAACTACGGCCGACTCTCAGCTCAGTACCTTTCCACACTCCCCGTATTCCCCTACTCCACCCCTTTCGCACCACATCTGTCTCTCTGCCCTGCGAGTCAAGGACGGAGAGGGCCAAGCAGACATGCAGAGGACAGCTCTGCACCAATCAGGAGACGGAGAGAACTTGTGTCAATTAAATGGTATGTGCTTATGCCGCAAATCACAGACACATGTTCCCTTCTCCCCTCCCACCCTGTGGCTGTTGCCTCTCTTCTCCACCACCTAATGCAGCGTAATCATCCTCATTACTGAATGAGACCCTACTGTACACACAAACTCCCCCCCCCCACTTTACACATGTGTATAAAGAGCATCCACATGCAGAACAGTATAGTTTATGCAATACACAACCAACTGCGCCTCTAACACACTGTCAACAGAGTAGCTCTCAGTGCCACAACACTGTAAAGCCTCTAATGCCACAGTAATACTATTGTAGTGTGTATTATCAACAGGACAGTGAGCACTGAATTAGGCTGGCAGCTGGGGAGGGGAGAAACCCCTCATTAGCTCCCTTCAATGTATCTACTTCCCCTAATCACTTACAATAACATAATCTCTTTAAAAGTGCTGCAGCTTAAGTCCAATCTGCCTAAAACCTGACACGTGATTGAGGTCAATCCCCCAGTAAACCCCAAACTGTGGGGTCCCATGAAGTCCCACCCACCTAAGCTACAGTACATTATAAGCAGGTATTGTATTTATGCTTTGCACTGTGCACAGTATTACACCGCTATGAGGCTCAAACTGAAAGCTATGTTTCCCTTTTCCTGATCCAGACTCCCTCCGCTGCTAACTTCATGCTCTCAGGCCGACAGAGCCTGGCCCGCCGCCTGCGTGTGCCTCTGATCCCAGTGCAGTTTGTATCCTTTTCACAGCCTCTGTTCTATCTAACCCCAAGTTGTGGAGCGCCATTCTGCTCTTTTTATTTTTTGATGTTTTTCCATAGTGTCTCTTGCCTGCAAACCACTTACAGATGTTGGCAGCGGGGAACATTGTGGCAACTCCAAACGAGGAAATCTAAATAGAGATCAGGCTGTAAAATAAAAAAGAAGGCCTGGAGAAGGAGAAAACAAGGGGAAAGCAAGCGAGCAAATGCGAGAATGGGGTGAATGGGTGAGAGAGAAAGAACAAAGCAGTGAGTGGGCATTAGTATAGAATTAGTAGAGACAGAAAGAAAAATACTTACTGGCTTTCTGGAGCAGCGACGACAGCTTTTTTGGATTTGTCGGTGGAACTTTAATTCAAACCCTTTTCGCCACCGAATTGCATCTTCTGATTTGTTTCCCAAACAGCGGACAAATATAGGCAGTCTGGAGCGAAGTTCTTGGGGAGGAAGATAAAGTTAGAATGAAGTTATAACTGGCCAAAAAGGCACCCACTGTAACAGAAAACATACATTTACAGCAAACTACTGCAGCTTTTCAATAGCTGATAATGAACCCCCTTAAAATTCTATACGGTCCAAAACCACAACTTCATATTCGCCTTTCCAGTTACAGCTCCCTTGGCAGATTTTTTATATTAAATAGCAGGCTATAGCATATAGGAATAACACCTGCCAGCTGGATTTTACCAGTGGCTACTGGAAAACAATTTCTCTGGCCCGAAAAGAGGCTTGGTCTGAGCTGCGGTGGTAGTTCCATGTTACCTCCCTCCACCTGTTTTACAGGAAGTAGCCTTGTCCCGGTGGATCAGAGAGGAAATGTGTTGAAATGCCACATCCTGCTCCGAGCTTAGAGTCACAGTTCAGTACAGCTAATGCTTATTATGTCCAGACACCTCCTAGAGAGAAAAAGAGCACAGATAGAGAGCGAGAGAGAGAAGTGTGTTTGCAGTCATGCCACTCCCTGCACAGTGATTGTAAAGATGAGTGACCTGTCTCTCCCATCTCTCCCATCTCTCCCCTCTCTCCCCCCCACTTCTTCCTCTCTCCCCCTGCACTTTATTTATTAATGGATCCATTCAATTATTTACCTCACATCTTAGGGCGACAACAGGCCACAGCACAATACACCGGGTGGAGATGATACAGTACACATGCAGAGCGCACAGACAGTGCTCATGCAAGGCAGCCCAGGTACTCAGTGGAGTTAACTGACTGACAGTTTGTATGCATTTAGTGAACCAGTTAACAGAAAATTATTCTGACAGTCAATCTAACCAAGATAAAGAGCTTTGGAATTTGTTCATTTGATCCTGCTTTTGATTAATGGCTTATTGTATTGATTGTTAGAGAGAGTGTGGTTCCCATCGGTTTCCCAGGATTCAGGGCAACATATTTAAATTGATTATTTGGTCCGATCATTGGTCGGACACTCATAAATTATTAATATTTCACAAATTAAATACATGTTATTAAAATATTATAAGAGTTATGAATGGAAGAAGAAAATGTTTTGCATTTTGGAGTGATTGTTTCACCACTGAAAGGATGTTATCCAAGCTTTGCACTCCTACGTTGATTTTGCATTATTTTAGTTCTTGATTCCTTTAAGCCCATCGGTCAGACATCCCACAGCTGGTGGAAAATAGCGAAATACATTTACTCAAAAACTGTACTCATGTAAAAATTGAAGGTACTTATACTTGAGTATTTCCTTTTCATCCCAATTTACACTGTTTTCTGAGTTATTTTACAAATAAGATTTGGAAACATAATGAGTTTTATAAAATAATTCAAACTGTGTTCGTCTTGGGCAGCTACAACAGAAAAAAAGCTATTCACACCATATAAATAACACATTATAGACAAAAAAAACTATAGTATATTTAGCATAACACTTACATGAACTGTTTTGCTGCATTGTGAAGACATTATGTACTTCAATGCATTTTGTAAGTGATAATGTGCGTAACATTTCCAAAGCAGGACTTTGTGGTATTAATACTTATCCTTAAACAAAGGGTCTGAATATCTCCTCCACCAGTGATTTTCAGTGAAAGCTAGCAAAGACGACTTCCTTTCAACGTGCTAGCGCTGACATGTGGTCTGTACACCTTTAAAAGTTACTACAGCATCCTGTTTGCAGCAGAGGTTGACGGTTCAAACGTATCATTGACCGCTCAGTGTCTGCTCTTATCTTCTCCCTCTGGCCTTATCCCCGCAGTGGCCAGACATGGATCAATCCCACCCGGAATTGGGTTTCACATCCCGGAAGCAGAGATGTACACATGGGTCACTTTCATCGACTCACTGCGGCCATGGCCATAGGTATCCATCATACAGACCATTGACTGCTTGTGACCATGAAGGTACAAATTCATCACAAAGAGAGGCTGCGGTGGATGAGGTCAGTGGAAAGAAGTGGCTATTTCTCGTCTGCAACCATGTGGAAATGGAGCCTTTTGAGATATTATCACTTATGTTGATGTAATTACAGCTTAGCATGAAGTACAGTTAGAACAAAGTTTTCACTGCAGAGTTACTGTAAAATTGCATTTTCAGACAGTGTGGCTTTCGTATGTGTGATTTTGTTTGTGTGTCTGAGTGTACGGCGACAGGACGAGGTCACACGGTGTAAGGAAATCTATAATAATGTCAACCTGCGCTTATCTGTGCACTGTTTGTCGCAGGAGTGATGTCATTATTTGTCTGTTATCATTTAAGAATGTGCATCTGTATGTGTTTTATTTGTATTTGTGTCTAGGGGGTGTAACAGGCCGAAAGATGAATAACAGATGCTGCGATGCTGTCGCGATCTGAACTCCAGACTTGGCCGACTCGCTTGAAGACTGAGGGAGAGAAGATGAAGGGAAAAAGGATGGCGAGCGAGATGAGGAGAAGGAGACGGTGTAGTCTGATTGCCGCTGACTCGCGTCCAGCACGCTGAAAATTGTGAGCCGGTTTGATACACAAACACACCTATGAGATGTGGTGAATGCTTGGAAAACGCAGGCAAACATTTTCTGGGAGAGTCTGACAACGCTCAACAATATCAAGTAAAGCACAAAATAGACAAACTTATTGGAACAACATGTTTTTTTTTTTCATCCCCTATTCTCATTGTGTTTGTATTGGAAGGTGAACACTAACACATACACACTCTGAAAAACCCTCTCAGTAACTGGTTAGTGCTCTCATGTGAGTGTATGTGTGTGTCCCTTGAGGAAAGCCTGCTTTAATTCCCCAGGAAATCATTGTGATTTAGAGTAGCAGCGAAGTCGCTTCCAATGAAAGTCAATGGACTGCTGGTGTGGGAGCTGGCTGGACTGCTTGCACATGTGTGTGTGTGTGTGTGTGTGTGAGAGCAATTTATCTAAATGGAGTTTTATCAAACTGTAATTAAATCAGCACGATAACACATACAGAGCTCAAACCATGCTGATGGTAATTAAAATAACCACATATGGTTCTGTCAGTGTCGGAGCAGCTACAGTAAAATTAGTACAAAAAAAAAAAAATCACCTCACTTTCTTCTTCCAAATTATGCAAGATGCAAATGAGTTCATGGTGTTTCCAAGTCTGATTGTATAGAGGAGGCGGAAAACGTGCACGTGCTCTTCAGAGGCTTTGAAATGCCTGCAGCAGGGTTGAAACTAGCCGCCTGACGAGTTTATAAAAGCTGTTGTAGCTGACCGGAGCTTAAATATGTTGTGGGGTCCAGGCGATGAACAAAAAGCAGGCCAGGTTCGAGGGCTGCTGTCCCAGAGCTCCTCCACGGCTGCTGATACAAGGAGCTGAAGGTGGAGGCTGGCAGAGCTGGCTGAATGCAGATAGGATCTCTGTGGGGGGGCGTGAACGTGTGATTGGAGACTAAAATCATTACAGTACGCCTGGTCACTGTGTCCTTGGCTCTTCCGCTGAGCTGAGGCTGATGCTTTCTTATACTTTCACCCTCTGCCTTTTTCTACCCTACTTTTTTTTTTCTAATACCCTTTCCTTTAGCCGATTTTTCACTACACTTTCCTCCGTGAAGCATGGCGGGCTCTTAATAAAAACACACTTCACAAAAGGATTTCTTTTTAAAAAACTGTTTCTGTAGGTGACAAAAAGTTGTGTTCAGGATGTCACCTCTGCAGCATGGTTCATACATGCACATATAATTCAGTGCAACAAATGAGTGCATCACTTTGCTCAGTTCTTGTGACATAAATCAGATTATCACAACATTATTGGGATTACATTTTTGTTTTTCTTCAAATCGTCTGATTGCATTCCAGGAGGCCTCATTGTGTTGATATTTCTCCTGATCACCTTCAGGCTCTTTCCCTTTCTGTGCCTGAGTGTTAACATGAGTTCTGAAGTCACCACTGCACATAACACACACACATGTGCTGGTGTCCTCCCGTTTGCAGCCACTTCAATGTAAAATCTGAAGAAGCAGGAGGAGACCGGATAACCCTAAACACTTGTTCTTGTTATTTTGGGTTATTATCACATATAGGGCCTCTTTCTCCTGGTTCACCTCAGCTGCACTCATGCCCCGAGGCTGCAGTAGCTGTCCAGAGAGAGAGAAAGGGGGGAGAGAGAGGGAGAGAGGGAGAATGTAAACTAGACTCGCCTTTCCTTTGGTCTCATTGGTTGATTCCCTGCCTAGCGGTTTTGTCCTTGAGAATGTGCAGACACGGGGCAGATAATGTTCTGACACCAGAAACTCTAGACCAGGACCAGATCAACACTTACTCCCATACCTCTCTGCTTCTATTGTCATACTACCGGGACATGCAGATTGAAGAAGCGTCTGTTGATTTCTTTTGCGCATGGTTTTATTTCTTAAGGAGGCAACTTTGTATGTTTTGAAGCAAATCGGTAAAACGCCCCAACTTGTGCGAATATGAATAGTCAGATGTAACAACAGCTTGTACGATATTACAAGTGGCAATAAGAAATTCCATAAAAAAAATATCACACCCGCAGGCGCGCACAAGCGATTATTAGGAAGCTGAGGTCTGGCTGAGCGCGTGAGGCGACAGGGTCAGACTTTTTCTTTTTCTTTATAAGACTCAAATTGTAGAACCACCACCCCCTTTTTTGTTTAGCCTTTAAGTGTATTCAAAGCCATGCACACCGAAAACTGTAAATTATTTTACCACTTAATGTAAATCTGAGGTTTTCATCTCTTCTCCGGTGTGTTGCAAGGTCAAAGATCTCCTTTTACCGCGCGCTCTTGTGACGGCGGGGTTTCTGCAGAAGTCAGCATGCCAGCAGAGCAGCATGTATAGGAATCTCCCTGCAGCGGCACATAAACTGCCAGACCCGGTGATCTAATCACTTCAGGCCAGTAGGCTTTAAGCCAAAGTTTCCACATCATCCTTAAGACTGAAAATAAAATAAAGGCCAAGGACGAATGAAATGCAAACAGTTTGGAGGTCGGTGCAGATTAGTACTTAAAAAGAGAAAATCATTTTCTGTCTGTCTGAGTGCAGAGGCTGCAATCAACAACCTTTTCTTTCTTTTGTTTTATTATTTTGGTGACTGTCATCATGTGTGGGAGTAATGTGCGGTTAATGTATGTGACAGAGTGATTTTCATCTCTCCTAAAACGGCAGCAAAAAAAGTCTTGAGAGGTATATTCTTGCCATTTCAATGACTTTAATAAGCAAAATAGGAAACAATTTCTTCCAAAAACAACCAAAAAAAAGACAAAACAGAAACCAGCCTGAATGGAACAGTTCAAATTTAAGTGTTACTATTATTTATATAAACAGGATTGAAAATTGATCCCCATCATCGCTAAGTACATGGAATTGGTGAAAACAAAACAACAACCCGCTGCTGCAGTTTCAGTTCGATTTCAACACAGTTGAATCAGTAACAAACCAAAAGATTGTTAAAATGCATGACTTTTCAACAACAGTTTCAATGCAAGCACCATGCTTAATCGATATGATCTGACCGTTTAATTTAAATCATTAAAATAAAAACTTTAACTATGCATCTGGCCAGCAGAACCAGAATCATCAAATAATAATAAAACAGACAAATAAAAAGTATTACATAACATAGACGTTTGTTTTCATTTTGAGAATTTGCACAACCTGAGTCCCCTTTTTTACTGACCGGCAGAAAAAAAATCAGGAAAACATAGAACATCAATAGTCAAACTTCTGTATTAAAACATTTGTGTTACCTAAATATCACCTCTACATAAAACCTCTGAGAAGAAAGTTGTTGCACTTTTTCTTTTACAAAATATAGGTTAGAGCGTTTCATTTTTAGGCCCAGTGAAAATATGCTACAGGTGGCCGCCAATCACAATGAGGGATATGTGGTTTTGTTTTTTAGTCTATAGTGCGTTTCGTGAAAGAGTTAATAGAAAAAGCAGACAACACTTTTTTTTGTGAATCTGTGGCATAAAAGCGACACTGAATTCAAATGAAAAAAAAAAACGTGTCTGTTCAACAGTATGTGGAATCCTCGCCTTGTTGGTGCGCAAAAGCCTTTTTTTTCTCTTTTGTGCAGTCTGGATCCAATAATATTGTGGCCACATGTTCATCTCCTCAGCTTTTACACAACATGCGTCCAAATGTTCCCCTAAAAACTTTGCACTCAGGCCTGTCTTGCAAAAAAAAAAATATTACAGTATAATATCATAGTATGTCTTCCTGGAGGGAGGTCTGCACAAAGTTCAAAATGAAAACTTGCAAATCATTATCCAAAAGTGCACTTGACACACAGTTTGTTGTGTTTTTAAATGCAACTGAAAAACAAATGCACTCCTCTTTCAATCAATACCCAACAAATGATAAAAAAAAATCACAACAAATAAATGAAATTTAAAAAAAACATACACACAACACAAAGAAAGAAGTTCAAACCAGCCTCCTCAATCTTGTTGTGCAGTTTTGCGGTTGCATAATATTTACAAGCCCAAAAAAAAAAAAAAAAAACCCACACCATATGATATACTGCACCGGCAGTCCTGCTGTTCTGTCCCCGCTGCATTTCTCTAAACCCCCCTCCCCTCAAAACTCAAAACAACAACAACAACAACAACAGAAAAGAAAAAAACAAACAAACTATGGAGAAGCGCAGATCAACAACATGCTCTTAATATACACGAAGAAGATGAAAGTACAAAATAGAAATTATTACCGTACATGTCCAGCATGCAGGATTAATATTTAATGCAGATTTTTTGTTTCAATATATATTCGAATATAACCAAGCAGGCAATAAATCAATGAGATGTTGCATAAAATGTCCCCCCTGTGACGGGTTTAGTAGACAGAAGTTTCAATTTGCATAAAGTGGAGTCCCGCTTTTTTTTTTTTCCTTCTTTTTTTTTTTTTTTTTTTTTAATTTTTTTTTTTTGGGAGATCTTCTCAGTTTGCGGGGGACCCCACTTGTCGAATGAGGGTCTGGTGTGTTGCAGGCTGCGAGGCCAGGCCTGCTTGTTGTTTCATAACCATGTCATCGTTTTTGGAGAACAAAATTACAAAGACAACTGCCTCGACGCCATCCCACACTACTTACAGATTATTCAAAAGCCTCAAAGGAGAGAGAGAGAAAAAGAAAAAAAAAAGAAAGTTCATCAGCCGATCCTCTTCTTTGAAGAAGAACCAAAAAAAAAAAAAAAAAAAAAAGTCTCTTCACTACAAGCAACTAATCTACAAAGATGCTGCGACTGGTCAGACACTCTACGTTGCTCTTTGTATCTCAGTTGACACGTGGATGGAGAGATGGTTATATATGAGAGTACTATCTGATGGATTATTCTTCTAATATGAATATAATTGTTACCGTTATTAGTATAATCAAACAGTATGGGAGGTGTGGATTATTATTTTTTTTTTTGTTCATCAGCAAAGTCAGTCGTTGGTGGAGAAAGGAAAGGTGGGGGGGATGGTGGAGGAGGAGGAGGTGGGGAGGTAAAGTTTGTTTGTTTGTGAGGGTGGTGGTGGTGAGGTTCGCGAGAGAAAAAAAAAACAAGGCTGCGACAAACTCACATGAAGAACTCTGGTGATGAAGGGTTGTCACTGGTCGAGCCAGCCTCGCGGAACCCGTTATTGGCCCCCGACCCCGTCAGTTTCTCGCACTTGAGTTTGTAGGCGTCCCGCTCCCTCGCCAGCCGGCTGATCTCCGCCTTCAGCTGCTCCACCTGGTTCATCAGCTGCGTCTTCTCGTTCTCCAGCACGTGCTTCTGCTGCACCCGCTTGAACCGGCAGGACTGCGCGTAGCCCCGGTTCTTCAGGGTCCTCCTCTTCTGCTTCAGGCGGATGACCTCGTCCTTGGTGAAGCCCCGCAGGTGTCTGTTGAGCTCCCTCACCGACATGGACACGAGCTGGTCGTCGGAGAAGCGGTCCTCCACGTTCAGTCCGCCCCCGGAGCCGTGGTGCGCCCCAGACTGGCTCAGGTGGCCGTGCGGATGGTGGTGGTGGTGGTGGCGGTGATGATGGAGCGGCTGGTGGGACTCTGGGGACACCGGGGACGGGCTGTCGGGGTCCTGGCTGTGATGGTGGTGATGCTGGCTGTGTGGGTGGCTGTGTCCGCCCGGGTGCCCGGACAGTTCCTCGGCGTGGTGCGGGATGCCCCCCGCGTACGGGTGGTGATGCTGCTGGCTGTGACCGTGGTGGCTGTGGTGGTGATGCGGGCCCCTGTAGCCCTCGAAGGCGCCTTGCTGCTGCAGCTGCTGTTGGACGTGCGGAGGCGGAGGGTGGCCGTGAGCCGTGGCTCCGATCAGGGCCTCCACCGCGTCCTCCGGGGTCAAGCTTAGCGTCTGCGGGTCTATCTGCTGGTGGTACCCGCTGTTCGGCATCCAGTACAGCTCCTCGAGGTGGTTTTTCTGCTCTGTGGGGCTGAAGCTGGGCGAGGAGGGCACCGAGCTGCAGGGCGTACTGATGGGGGTGGAGGACACGGAGCCCTGGGGTTGGAGACGGTTACACTGGCGCACTCCGTTGCGATCCAGCCCGGCCAGGCCTTCCTTCTTCACGTCAAACTTCATCAGGTCAAAATCGTTGACATATTCCAGAGCCAGAGGGCTGCTGGGTAGTTCCGGGCCCATGCTCATCTCTGCACTCATGTTGTTGTCGCGACTCTTTTGCAGATATGCAAAGGTGCTGGCGAGCGACGCAAAAACTGACTTATTAATCAGCGTCTCTTCTCTCCTCTCTTGTTTCATGCAATAGTTCTTTTGGCTCATCCACCGCTGTGCACTGACTTGCTGTAGCATGAAACACCGTGTGATTGGTTGAGAAAAAAAAAAAAAAGGAAAACGAAAAAAAGTTGAGGAGGAAAACTTTCAGACTAATGCTCTGCACACGGTTTGCGTCATATAGCCTACTTCTGCTGGGATAATCTGGCAGAGAGACCAGGCAGGAGGTAGAAAGCAGTGCGTCTCAGTGCAGAAGTTAAAAAAAAAAAAAAAAAAAAAGAAGAAAAAAAAAACTCTCAGTCCCTTCAGCAGATGTGTATTCACACACACATGAAAAGAAAACATAAATAATGACAGTAAAAGAAATACCACGTTTGTTCGCTGAGACGGGCACCAGTCCGCGTTGCAACTTCTTCTTGGTTTGTAAGTCCCTTTTTTTCTCCAGGAAAATAAAAGGAGCGAATAAGCGTTGAGTAAATAGGGCGTCTGATTTTCGCTGAGAAGCAGCTTTTCCAGCTCTGCACCGCAGAGATTTAAAGGCTAGCCTCTCTCACTCTCTCCACTCTCTGGTATCCAGCAGACTGCGCTTGGAGCCAGCCAGCGCTTTATCCTTATAGCGCACTGTGACGTCGCGCCGAAAGGCTGGATCGGTGGAGCGCAGCTCTCCAATGGGAGCAGGACTCTGCTCTGAAACAGAGGAAGAGAAGGAGGAGGAGAGCAGCGGAGAGGAGGGCGCACAATTCAGTCTTGACAGCTACAGACAGTCAGCTGACCGACTTCCCTAAAAGCAGAAGGTGGGAGCAAAGTGGAGGAGAGAGAAATGCCTTCACTTCGCAGACGCTGTCCGCGGCTCCGCTGTAGCGCGCTGCTCCTTGTTTTCAGTCGTGACAGTTTCCGATCTCGGTGAGATCAATGTGAAGGCTTCAGTGCTGGAAAGCTCAGAGAAATTTCTCTTAAAGCACTTTAATGGCACATCAATCCCTCAGACCGCTTAATAGTTTTACCAAACGTCCAATATGTGTTGAATTCCAGTTGCTTCCCAATGTCACTTTCCAAAAAACTTAGTCCAAGACACATCATCCACTTATTTTGCCACAACGTCCTGATGGTGCTTGAGTTGTTTCAGTGGGAAGCTGCTTTTCCTATTTTAAAAGTCAGTGGTAATCAATATAAATGACTGACTGTATATCACCTTTTACACTGAACGTTACTCCAGTGCTCTCAGAAGTTCACCAAAACAATTCAATCACAAGTGAGGTTGTATTTTTTGACACAGTTTTCTAACTTATCTTTAACTTTCTCACAAAAAACCGACACATGCTTTTATTGTGTTGTACCACTTTTAATGTTGCTTCCACAAACACACATGATTTACAGTCTGCTTTGATGTTCAGACAATATTTCATCCCATCATGAAGAGCCACAGCAGTCTTAGAATTGACATGAGTGTGTGACCTTGCTGCTGTGAAATTTTTAAAATATGGATTTTTTTTTTTTACCATGAGAACGACCACAACACATTTCTGCTACAATAATTATGGGTTAAATGTGTTTATTTATTTATTTTTGGCAAAAGTAAAGTTGTCTTTGCTTCCAGATTCGCACATCAGGCTGCTCTTGGCACGGACCGGTTGTTTTACACCGGGCAGCACGAAAACAAGGGGGATCACCTGAAAACAGGCTCAAGGCTGCCCCTGCGTGGGCAACACACGAACCGACGGAGCCCGAGAGATGCTGCTGATACACTTTTCTTTTGATTTTACGCACGGATTTTTTAGATTTTTTTTAAATCTCCGCACTAATTGGTCGTTTCAAAGGTCGCATCCTGCAGTTATGACTGACAACAATTAATCTCTGCCATTTGGGTCTCATGCAAACTCTGTGTGACACGCAGGTCCATGTCACAGTTAGTGTCTAACAGGTAGTTTGGCCAAAAAACCCCCCACAAAAACCAGGGTCTCACACGCCATTAATCTAGTATTTATTTTAATTATCAACCCAAATAAAATAATAAAAGAAGCAGTGTGAGCAAATGCCTCGCTTCCCCCGCAAAAAGGAAACTGCTTGTAAATGAGTCAATTTGAAGGATCGATTGGATTATCATTTCGTTTCCACCTCATATCCACGGTTGAGCACAGCCACGACCGGAGCGTATTGATCAGGCTCGGATGTAAGAGGAGGCTGCCAAAGATGAGATCCGATAATGAAGGGGCTTATTTGTTTAGCTTAAATTCTTCATCAGTGTGAGCGGCGTGGCAGTGGATGAAGTGTGAGTCCAACACAGGTCATAAATCACACCTGAGTCACAGCATCCTGGTCTGGTTTTAGCTGATATGTTTAAGATGCATTTGAATTTACAGTTCATTTAAGATTATTTAAAAACAATAATAATTTAAATATATATTTTTTTACTATTAAAAGTGCAACTTAAACGGATTTACCCAGCTATCAAGGTAACAAAATTAAGATAATAAAATAAATAATAATAAAAAGAAAAACTTTGAGTGTCGACAGCTTCATGAAGCAATAAAGAAAAAAGAAACACTTTTTAAATTAGACAGCAGAAAGTTTACAAAAACGACAGAACGGTTTGTGATTATCACTTACCTATTTAATGCGACCATCATCACTATTTATTATTATTATTATTATTATTATTATTATTATTATTATTATTATTATTATTATTATTATTATTATGCTACTACATTACTTTAGACTGAAAGCACACGATACTAACTGGCTGTAGTCCAACTGAAGTGCACTTTTAATCAACCCTAGATTGTATTTATTCCTCATGTGATTTTTTTTTTTTTTTAGCTTTTGTCGACAGATTTTGTTCAGTTATCCCGAATCTGTTTACCATCTTTAGCTTATGAACACACGAGCTGTTTTTCGTTTTTGTTATTTTAAATTTGAGCCTCAGAGCGCCTGTGAATCACCCCATAGTGCAATACATAAATACAAGCCTCCCCCCCCTCACCCCCCACCCCCCAAGCACACGATAAAAATACAACATACAGAAAGCATTCAAGTTACAATCGTCCTCTCCTCTGTTCATTCCTTGCACCTGCAGGCGAGTTCCTCACTTCTCAGCCTCTCCAACTTCAAAAGCGCCCAGAGCGCGTCGTGTCGTGCGGAGCCGACCTCAAACCTCTTCCCAGCAAGGCCGAGCCGCCGGCAGCCCCATTAGGTCGTAATGCTCTCTAATATAACCCGAGTCCACCGTCTAATAGATCCAGGCAGGCCTGCCGGCGGCTCTCCCCCTTCGGTAATAACGGGCTGTAATGGAGAGACGAGATGTAAAAAAGCGTCCATGTCAGCAGCATATCGGTGGTTAATGATCTATTAAGTGATCCGTGTGCTTATGGACAGAGAAAAAAAAGTGTTGATGCTTGCTTATTCGCCCCTAATGAGAGTCCCATCCTACGGATTTTAGGAATGAATAACAGAAATAAAATCACCTTTAAAATGTTACATTTAACAGTTGACGCACGGAGGCTGCAGAGGCTGCACAGCTTCCCACAGCTCACATCTCACACCTGCAACGGGCCCTCTGATTTCACACAGGAGGCCCATGGTCTGTCTATAGGAAGAGACACAATTCCCCTCACAAATATGGATTTCTATTCCGCTTCAGGACCTATCCATGCATATGCATCTGCGCTCCGGAGGTCCGACAGGCCAGGTTGCATTGCCAAGACCCTTTTGGATCTGAACTCAATCTGTGAGGGAGTGACTATAAGGAATACTTTTTTCCCCCCTTTTGGAGTCAGATTCAGACTCACTCAGAGGTAAATTGTTTGTTTTACTTGGTCATCCTCTGACTGTTTGGCGTGCGTAATGATTGTCTCTTATGGTTCCCCCGAACGTTCTTGGAAATGTGAAAAGGTAGTCGAGCTGGAAGGCCTGTGACGGGGGAGAGTGAGGGATGGAGATGGAGAGACGGTGCTTTCGGAGGTGCTGCTTTGATGCAGGAGGGAGGAAGGAGATGCGCAGAGAGAGAGACGTGCAGCCCCGGCTTCAACCTCCAGAAAGTTACACCCGCAGCCGCCTTCATTACGCAGTAACTGGCTTTAAAATGCATTATGAGTGGGTTTACACATCGAGAAGTAATATATGCAAATGCAAATTGCAGACGTCGTTACTAGAACACAGCTGGCATTTGCTTTATGTTGTATTTATATAGTTTGGCAGAATGGGAAGTCTGTCGAAAAAGTTTGGTTGCTGTTTGGCCGCATAGCAGTTTCGTTTTAGCTTTATTAATGAGCTACTTGATGTTTATTTAAATTTGATAGCTACCACATTTGAAATGCATTTTACCATCAGACTGCAGCTGCATAATACATTTCCCATCCGGAGTCGCAGTCTAAACAGGTGTTTCCATTAATGAAATTTGTTTGGCATAAAATAGTAATAGTGCCAGTCGGGCAGCCAACATTTGTCTCTAAGATTTCTCCTTGATGCCGGAGCCCCCTTTTGCATCAGTAATCTAATATCTTCCGTTTACAATGTGGGACTCACTCAGGCATTCTTGTTTACTCCAGACTGATCGATTATCTCTGTGAAAACATGTATTATTAACACGTGTCGTCTGTGTAAACAGGCAGAGGCCAGCGTCTGAGGAAGGCTCACATCCCCATCAGGGATAATTGACTGAAGGGTCTTTCAGGAAAACAACAAGAGGTGAGATAAGTGCAAATTCTGGCAGTCTCATTAATATGAAAAAGGCATCGATTTAAACAGTGGACATCAAATGTTTGTCTTTAAAAAAAAAAAGAATCCACCCTGCATGCTGTCTTCGTCGTGCACAGACGTGTGTTTGATTCTTCAGCGGTGTTATCACAGCAGTTAAACTCTCTCCATTTACCCAGTAAGAAGGTGGTTATGTTTGCTGGGGAAATTAGGGCTTATTTCTTGTGACAGGGCGCCTCTGGTGGCGCATTTACTCATTGCTAATAGTTTGATGTGTATCATCAGTGACATGCAGTCTTTTTTTTTTGGCACTAACCCCATGCAGGCAGCTCCAACTTCAGACCTGAAGCTGTTTGGTTGGCTTTTTTTTTTTTTTAAATGACAGAGAGGATATAAAAAATATGATGGGGAGGCCAAGGCATAATTGTAGGCCTTTTCTGAGATTAGATGTCTCTGATTGACATGTAGTAAATATAACAACAAATAAATGTCAGTGTGCACTGTACTGGCTTAATCCCAGAAGAAAAAGAACAATAAATCTGCCTTTTGCTGTGGTCATTTCATTAATGTAAATTGCAATGCTATGTACAATAGTTTGGCTTCCTTCCAGTGGGCTCTTTGCTGAGGCTTATGCACGATATTAGGTTTTATCATAAACTGGGGCGGTGTGACCACAGAATGTAGGCGACACCACAAGAACCAAATATCAGAGTGCAGGCATAACATAATTAAAGACCATATTCTCCGGTCATAGCCGCAATTTACATCTGTATTTTCTGAGCTCCGGTCTGGCTGCTGTGACTGCAAGAAACACGCAAGAAACTAAACTCTTATGATGTACTGAAAACATAATTACAATCATTTCTACTCACAACCATTTTT